AGTAGGACATGACTTAGCAACTGAACAACAACAATGAAAAATTATTTTTTCTCTCTCTATACCTATTGGCAAAGACTACCTGATGCTTTCAAATGTAATTTAATTTAATTTTATCTTATAAGTTTTTAAATATGGGAGGGCCAGCAATATATTTTCAATGTTTCACCTTAGAAATATATCAACTTTCCAACCCTGACTCTATTCCACAGAGAATTGATTGCCTCTTTATTCCACAAGACACACAAAACTATAGAGTTTGACCTATAAAACTATAAAGTTGGGCATGCATAAGAGTGAGAGTGGTGTACACAGATTGGGCTTGAGCATTTCTTGAAGGTACAGGTAAATGGCCTTAGCAAGTGGCTCAGATTTTTATGGATCCCAATTCTGCTACACTAGTCATTTTTTTTTTTCCAGCTTATACCTATGGCCTCATCAAGGTCAGAGGTATATTAGTCATGAGTATATAAGTATTAGTTAAAATCATGGGGTGGGCAGAGAAGTAGACTAAGGTTGGAACCAGAAAAAATAGCGGCATTTAAAGCAGGAAGGAGAGGAGAGTTAACTTTACAGGAATCATCATAGGTGTATCACTGACCACATTATGTTGCTAATATTTTAAATATTTATGAGCCTAACTTCCCAAGTAGACTGTGAACTCCTTGAAGGAAATAATTATAGCTCATCTTTTCTGTGCTTCTATACCAATTGTCCCAGTGCCTTGCACATATATACTTAATATATGTACATTTAAATGAATGAATGAATAATTAATTAATGGAAGGACTCTGGTTTGACATTTCTAGTTGGTGCTTTCATCATTTAGTGTGACATTTCAGTGTAGTAGTTCTTCATATCTTTTCATTTTATCACTATTTTTTTATTATACAAAGAATGCATATTTATTGAAGAAAAATTTAGAAAAAAGGAAAGCTAAGAAAGTTATTTTTAATCCTATTACAAGGAGTAACTGTTGTTAACATTTCATGTCTATCCTTTTAGACCACTACTATCAGCAGAAATACAATGTGAGCCATGCATAACTTAAAATGTTTTAGTAGCCATATTAAAAGAGAGCATAAAGAAATAAAATTAATTTTGATAATATATTTTATTTAACCCAGTAAATCCAAAATATCATTTCAATAGGGAGTCAATGTAAAAAAAATCACTGATTTTTCTTTTCATACTAAATCTTTGAAGCCTGGTGTATAGTTCACATTTAGAGCACATCTCAGTTTGAACTAGCTACAATCCAAGTGTTCAACAGCCACAAGTAGGTGGTGGATATGTACTCAACAGGACAGTTCAACACTTTTTGATGTATGTATAATGATGCAGCTATACATAAAATTATAATTTTCCCTCCACAAAGATCAGGTCAAATGAAACCTACAATTTTATAGGTTTTTAAAGTGAACTTTAAATTTTAGAGTAGTTTAGATTTACAGAAAAGTTGTAGAGATAATACACATAGTTTCCACACAGTCCACCCCCAGTTTCCCTTCTCACTAACATCTTCCAATGGTAACTGTACTGGAAATAATAAACCAATACAGACATTGTTGTTAAGTTCATACTTTATTGGATTCACTTAGATTTTACCTAATGTCTTTTTCCTGTTTGCAAAATGCCATTGAGGCTGCCACATTACATTTAGTCATCATGTCTCCTCAGGTTCCTCTTGGTTGTGACAATTTCTCAGACTTTTCTCATTTTTGATGACCTGGGTAGTTTTGAGTTTTTAGTGGAGGACAAGGAAGCCTGGCGTGCTGCAGTCCATGGGGTTACAAAGAGCGGACATGACTTAGGGACTGAACAGCAACAACAGGAGTTTTGAGGAGTATTAACCAGGTATTTCATAGGATTACCTCACTTAGGAGTTCTTTGATAATTTCCTCATGATTAGACTGGGGTTATGGGTTTTGGGAAGGAAGACCACAGAGGTAAAGTGCCACTTCTTATCATTTCACATCAAGGGGACCTGTTATCATCACGACTTATTTCTGTTGATGTTGAACATGACTACCTGGCTGAGATAGTGTTTGTCAAGTTTTCTCTTCTACCCAGTTACTCTTTTCCTGCCTTTTCTAACTGTCCTCTTGAAGGAAGTCACTACGTGCAGCTCACACTTAAGGAGTGGGGAGTTATGCTCCACTTTCTGGAGTATGGAGTGTCTACATAAACCATTTGAAATTCTTCAGCTTGGGATATTTGTCTATTTTCCCTCATTTACTTTTGAAATAGTTTATGCATATCAATGACTCTAGATATTTATTTTCTACTTTAGGTTGCTACTTAATACTGCTTAATTTATTTTATTGCTCGAAGTGTTCCAGTTTTGGCCACAGGGAGATTCTTCAGTTGGTTCCTATGTCCCTTTGACATTGCCTTAGCACTGGTTTTTGTGATTTGTGTATATGTTAAGCATGATGACATATTCCAGGATTATCCCGCATATTCCCTGCTCCAGCCTCAGAATCAGACATTTTCCCAAGGATCTCTGGTTCCTTTTATTAGAAATGGTATTTGAAACTAAAATATGGGATCCAGGCCTGCTCCTTCTGGAGCATTTTCAAGAATGTCAAAGAAGAGATGTGAAGTCGGTTTTGAAAGATGGTGACTCTCAAAAGGTAGAAATGGGGAGGAAATGTATTGCTGGAAAAGCAAACAGCAGGAGCAGAATTTGGGAGCTGGGGATAGCACAGTCTTTCAGGGGATCCAAACTTTTTGAGCCGGCAAGATTCTTGGGAGGAACACTGTGGGGAGATGAGTGGAACAGCACTCAGCAAGGTGACCCTGCGCTGGAAAGGTCTGGAGGTGAGAGAACAGTTAAGTGTACAGTGTAGTGAACCAGGTACAGGTGTTAAGTCTGTCCCTCTTCCTTAGCACCCTGGGTGATGTGAGTTGATGTCCAACCCATCTAATTGGAACAGTTTGAAGAACTGAAGAGCTGGGGCTCAGGGCTGCTGCCCTAAAGTATGCTGTAGTAGCATCCGGATTCTTTTGAATTGAAGCTGTTTGAGAAATAGCTGAGGCAATAAGGAAATTCTGACCCTCCTCTGTCCCCCTGAAAGTAGGAAATAAACCTCTATGTGAAAAGTGTCCTTCCTGCATCTTATCACCAGAGATAGGGAATCTGGAAGAAAAATCTGTATAAACAAACTTTGTTACTACTTTACCTCACTACCCCAAGCCCAGACTCTGTTTAGATTTTTCACTAATTGAGCATTTGACAATTACTAATGAAAAGTATAAAAGATGCCTGCTTTGACCACTTCTTAGGTACCCTTTCCAAGAGAACTCTGTGTGCACAAATTAAAATATATTTCTTTTTTTCCCTGTTAGTCTTTCTTGTGTCAATTTTATTACAAGTCCAACCACAGGAACTCAAGGAGGGTAGAGGGGGAATTTCCTCTCCTTGACAGGATCCTTTCTGAACTGTAGCACATCAACAGTTCTAAAAAGTTATTTTGAAGTATTTTGCTTCCTTAGTTCATTTTACCTCATGACTGTCTTTATTAGTGTTTTATGTTATCTCTTTTGGTTGAAATATTAATAATGGAAAACTCAACTCATAATAGCTTACATCAAAAAGAGGTTAATTGTGTCACATTGTTGGCATCCCACCTTCACTCCCTTATGTTTATCATTTCAAAGTGCACACTCCCCACTTCCTTCTGCCAACACTTGAGTTTGGCAGATTTCAGTGCTGGGGAGTTAACACCCTCATCCGCTGGAGCTGTTCTCTGTCAAAGACACACAGGATTGGGGTATCAGTATCCTAGCTCCTTTGTCCCCAGTTGAGATAAGCAGAGATAGGTGCTTTGCGCTGATTCCCAGAAGATTCCCTGGCAAGATTAAACACCTGGTGCCCAATGGCAGATGGCCTGACAACACACACTCTTTACTGGCTCACTCCCTTCCTGTCACTCTCCCTAGAGCTCACACCATGCATCCTGGGATCACTTCCTAACTAAACCACTTGCACTTGAATCCTTGTCTGCTTCTGGTGGAACACAAGCTCAGGTAGCTGAATTGTTCAATTGAAAATTCCAGATAGATCTTCTCTAATCACAGCAGAGTCCAGGGCCTCAAACAATGTTTCAGTAGCTCAGTTTCACTTCTTTCAAGATCATGCTCTTCTCTTTTGATGGCAAGAGAGTTTCTGGAAGCTCTAGGTTTACATTGTTTAAAAAAAAATTTACCTGGGTAAATCTGAAGATCTAATTGGTTTTTTTCAATGATTCATGAATCAGGCAGCATCCCATGTAGCAAAACATGGGGTTGTACAAAGTAAAAGGTTTTTATAGGCAGAAGGAAGGAGGGACAAGAGGTATTAGCAAAAGGAAAAAAAAGATGGTTTCAGTCCAGGACCATTTTCTCATGGGGAAAGGGAACAGCAGGGTTTTTTTTTTATCACAGATAGCCTCACTGGTATTAATCAGGAAATTTCAGATTGACTGTTTTAAAGGTCATGTTTCTGGAATAGGTTGAAACTACAATTGAGTCTTGATTTGCTTTTGTGGGAGATGGGGCAAATGATTCCACTTGGGGCTTGTTATTGCTTTTTAACAACATTCTAACCTCTTAATCTTCAGCAGCATTCCCAAAAGTTCCGTCTTAAATTTGGGATGTAGGCTTGGATCATGTGTGCATCCTTGAACCAATCATTGTGGTCAACGAGATGAACTATGCTAACTGTCAGGGCATCCAAGGATGGGGTCAGCTTTATCCAAACCCACACATGGGGTAGAAGGAGGCATGTGTGTTTGCTTGTGCTCAGTCAGGCCTGACTCTTTGTGGCCCCATGGACTGTAGCTCACAGGGCTCCTCTGTCCATGGGATTTTCCAGGCAAGAATACTGGCGTGGGTTGCCACTTGCTGCTCCAGAAGATCTTCCCGGCCCAGGGATCCAACCCACATCTCTTGTGACTCCTGCGTTGGCAGGCGGATTCTTAACCACTACACCACCTGGGAGGCCTAGGAGGAGAGGAAGCTTGTTTATCCAGAGAAGATCAAGGTGCTGTCACCAGAAAAGGGGTGTGGATGTTGGGCAAGCAGAAATGACAGCGGCATACCTTGATGGGCTGTACTTAGACACCAGACACAGAGATGAAAATGCTCTGGAGGCTGGGGTCTTGTAACCACGACTCTTTCTTTTACACCAAATGTGGGAAGATTGGTTTGAGAACATTCATTAGCTTCTCTCTAGATCCAGCAGAACCACCCATCATGCCTGTGTCTTCCCTCTTCCTGTTCTGTGGGTTGTCTTCTCCTGGAGCAGGTGGCTGTCTCGTGCCGAGCCCTGGGGGTTTTTGTAAGGCGCTTCCTGTCACTACCCTCACCGTGGAACTCTCTAACAGCACAGAAATAGGTGGCCGAGTCACTCAGTGTCAAGGCTGAGATGGTGAGTTTCAGCATTTGGTTGGGTTTGTAAAATTCCACGGAGTATCGTCCTTCCCTTGCGTGCTTGCTTTGAGAATAAATATTAACCATGTAAATCATCTCTCCGCTGGAAGNCTTGCTTTGAGAATAAATATTAACCATGTAAATCATCTCTCCGCTGGAAGGCTGTCGATACCAGTACATCATATAGTAAGTATAGCTGACTGAGAACTTGCATTCCACGGTCACAGATTCCCCCTCCTTTTTATACACTGTAGGTACATCGGCGCTCTCAACATTGTTGGAACCTGTAGAAAAGAAGGGGAAAATGACTTATTTGTTGGTGATGCTCACAAGAAACCTGCCACAGTAGCCAAGTTTTGACCCAGGAAATAAAGTGGAGAAAAGCATTGTAGGATTCTATTCTAACTTCTTTCCCAAATCTCCTTCCTCAAGCCCCAGCTGCAGGGTTGGGGAGCTCCCTACCGAGGCAGATGAGGGCCACGACTGCGCACAGGAGAGCAGGTGGTCCAGACTGCATCCTTGAGGTTCTTCCCACTAGTGATGTGGCTCTTATTCTGCCTGCCACCTGCCAGGCCCTGGCAGCGTCACTGGAGCTGGGCGGTCCCGTGGCCTCCCTGCTGCAGAGCCGGAAATGGGGTTTCTGCCTGCGCATGCTTAGTCGTGTCACCTGCTGTCTGTGCTTACCCTCCCACCTGTCTTCCTCCAGGCTTGCTACTTTTCTTTAATAAATATATAACATATAGTATATTTTTTGTTATAAGGAAAACGATCAACATAGAACCAACAAGTATAAAAGTGTAACAGAGATATAAAATTCAACTATAATCTCATTCCCCAGAGATGTACACTGTTAACATTTCATTATATTTCTTTTAGCATCTTAAAGTAAGCAAATGTGCTTACTTTAAAGGAAACTCTCACTTGTTTATCACTGTGTTTATGAATATACCATCATGTCATTCAATTATATGTTAAAATGCTATTTTTACAGCTTTGGACTACTCTGTTGTGTAAGTGTACCTCAATTTGTTGAAATATCATTGGTTGACATTGTATCATTATATTTGTTTTGCCTAATTTAAATACAATTTAGTGAACATTGTAAATGTGAGTCTATGCATTTCTGATGACTTGTTTTTATGTTAACCAGGTTTTTTTTTTGAAGTATTTTATTATGGAGAATTCAAACATCTACAAAAGAAGAGAGAATAGTGTGATAAAACAGCATATATTCATTACCTTGTTTCCACAATTATAGACTTATGGCCAGTTAACTAATCTGCTTGCCAATCGTCCTACATATCTATGTACCTCCCCCAATTCTGACTGATTTAAAGTAAATGCCAAACATCATGGTATAGTGTACTTTCCTGGGCAGATAGATAATGTCAGCTTGACTGTGTGTGTGTTGTCAGTGACTTTAATAAGCAATGAAAAGATCTATTCTTCAGCTATCCCCTGGAGAAGGGACAGGCTACCCACTTCAAAGCAGTCAATCTTAAGGGAGATCAACCCTGAATATTCACTGGAAGGATTGATGCTGAAGCCGAAGCTCCAGTAGTTTGGTCATCTGATGTGAGCAGATGATTCACTGGAAAAGTCTGTGATGCTGGGAAAGACTGAGGGCAGAAGGAGAAGAGGGATTCAGAAGATGAAATGGCTGGACAGCATCACTGATGCAATGAACAGGAACTTGGGGAAACTCTGGGAGACGGGTGAGGGACAGAGAGGACTGGTGTGCTGCAGTCCATGGGGTTGCAAAGAATTGGACATGACTGGGCTGTTGAAAAACAACAACCTACTCCAGTATTCTTGGGCTACCCTGGTAGCTCAGATCATAAAGAATCCCGTTGCAATGTGGGAGACCTGGGTTTGATCCCTGGGTTGGCAAGATTCCCTGGAGGACGGCATGGTGACCCATTCCAGTATTCTTGCCTGGAGAATCCCTATGGACAGAGGATCCTGGCAGGCAACAGTCCATGGGGTTGCAAAGAGTCAGACATGACTAAATGACTAAGCACAGCATTGTTTGGTTGGGACTTGGTTGGCAAAATGATATTCTAATTATATAATTTCTACTTCACTTATTAACTTTATGATATTTCTATATATGTTTATTGTTATTGCTATATATCTTTATAATATTTCTATAAAGATATTTTCCTTGTCAATATTTCAATTACTCTCTGAGATCAAGTGTATGGTTATTTATCAGTCTTCAGGATAATGAGTTGATTCCCTGTAATGTGACCAGTCATCCCTCTTTGCCTGAGATGAACATGTTTCTCAGGACATGAGGCTTTTTGTGTCAAACCTGAACAGTCCTAGGCAAACCCTGTGCAAATCAGGACAAATCCCCAAAAGGAACTGAGGAGGATGTTTTTGTGACCCCATGAATTTAAATATACTTGATGTGTTGCAATCCATTGGATTCTTTTTATTATTGATTTAAGAATCATTCCAGCTTTAGCCAGTGAAAATCTTTTCAGGTTTGCTCTCAAGTCTTTTAACATGGACTCTGTAGTCATGGATAACTTCCTAGTTTTCTGGGATGACAAGGTATTCTAAGCTTATTTTGTACATTTCCTCCCTGCAAAATGGAATCAACCATCTATGATTAATGATAATTGTGTTTTTTCCTTTTTAGTCCTGATGTTTTTATTATTTTAATGCACTGGTTAAGATAGGCTTCTCTGGTAGCTCAACTGGTAAAGAATCTGCCTGCAATGCAGGAGACGCTGGTTCAATTACTGGGCTGGGAAGTTCCCCTGGAGAAGGTGTACACTACCCACTCCACTGTTCTTGGGTTTCCCTGGTGGCTCAGATGTAAAGAATCCACTTGCAATGTGGGAGACCTGGGTTCGATCCCTGGATTGGGAAGATCCCCAAGACCCTTAATGTAGAGTAAAAAGGATAATACTGGAACTCCTGTGTTTTCAAGTTTTTAAGGGAATGTTTTTAACATTTCACTTTAAAAACAAACAAAACTCCATTTGTCAGGTTAAGGAAGTTCTCTTTACTTCCTAGTTTACTAAGAGATTTTATAGCTAAGAGATTAATTAAAAATATGTACCAATATTAAATTTGACCAAGTTACTTTTCAGCATTTAGTGAGAGAATTTTATAATTAATATATTTAGATGGTGTGTTGTTCAAATATGAAGCCTTCCTTATATTTCTGGGGCTTCCTGGTGGCCCAGACAATAAAGAATCTGTTTGCAGTGCGGGAGACCTGGGTTCAGTCCCTGAATTGGGACGATCTCCTGGAGATGGGAATGGCAGCCCACTTCAGTATTCTTGCCTGGAGAATTCCATGGACAGAGGAACCTGGTCGGGTCCATGGAGTCTCAAAGAGTTGGACATGACTGAGTGACTAACACACACACACACATATTTTTGGGTGTATCGGTATTATTTTAAATATTCAGTACTAGATGGATAATATATTTAGAAGTTGTCATTGCTTTTTATAAATAATGTTGGTCTATAATTTTTGATTGTCATCTATTCTTGTTTTTGTCATTATGGTTCTCTCTTAGGCTCAGAATAATGCATTGACTAGCTTCCTGTTTTTTATTATTCTCAGTATTTGGATATGGTTTGTATAATATGGAAATTATTGGTCTTGGGTTTGATATAACTTGCCTATAAAACCATATGTATGTATAATGTTTTAAATTTCTTTAATTTATATGTAAATTCAAACTTTATAATTTTCTTATCAGTTTTGCTATATTATAATTTTTAGAAAGTTTTATATTTTGTCCAAGTTTATAAATTTATTTGTATGAATCTACATCTTGCATTTTCTTGTAATTATTTAAATTTTTACTGTGCATGTAGCTATAATCTTATTTTACACAATATTTTTGGGTCTTGTTTTAATTTCCTTGAGAAAACTTATTAGGGATTTGTCCATTTTGTAATTCTTTTCAAAGGACCATTTTAAATTGATCCTTTTCATTGTTTCTTTCTCTGTATTTCATTAATTTTACCTCTCATTCTTACCTTTATTTATCCTATTTTTGTTGTTTACTATTGTCTCTTAAGACTTTTTGATTGAATGTGTAGCTCATCATGTTCAGTTTTCTGTTTTTAATATATTTTTAAGCCTGTAAAATTACTCTGTATTGCTTTAGGCTTATCTCTGAAGTGTTAAAATATAAACCTTTCATTATAGTTCAGTTGTAAATATTTTAACAATTCCACTATGTCTCTGGTTTACAAATTATTTAGAAGTGCATTTTTTTTCTTTTTTTAATTTTTATTTTATATTGGAATATAGTTGATTTAGCATGTTGTATTAGTTTCAGGTACACAGCGATGTGATTCAGTTATACATTTATATATAAGTTTTTCAAATTCTCCCATTGAAATGACTACAGAATAGAGTTCCCTGTGCGGTGCAGTGGGTCCTTTTGCTTATCTATTTTATATGTAGCAGTGTGCACATGTTAATACCAAACGTTTCATTTATCCCCTCTCCTTCCCCTTTGGTAACCCTATGTTTGTTTTTGTGGTCTGTGAGTCTATTTCTGTTTTATAAATAATTTCATTTGTATAATTTTTTAAAGATTCTACATAAAAGCAATATCATATGATATTTGTCTATCTCTCTCTGACTTAATTCAGAAGTGCATTTCTTTTTGCCTTTAACATTGACTTTTAATTGACGGATCTAACTTTGTTTATGGTAGCAAAAGAATATAACCTGTGTGATTTTGATTCTTTACTACTTGCTTTGGTCAATTTGTGCTCAACTTTCTGAATACTTTTTAAGGGCAAATTGCTGGATATAGAATTGTTGAGTGGATTAGTTATATATATGTTAACAAATTACCCTTAGAATGAATTTGCAAATGGAAATTTAAAGGATAGAGAGACCTGTTTAGAAAAAGGAATAGCTTCTGGCCAAATCATTTTTTTGAGAGTGGTTTGTTATAAAGGGTAAATCTGTTATAAAGGAAATCTTATCCATAGAAATGATTATGGAATGGAGAAGTCCTCAGACTTCCTTACAAGCCTGGATTGACAGGCTTGTATAAGACAGGGTATAAGACAGGGCTTTGGAAAATTGCACATATAGAAGGAAACAGGTGGTAACAAAGTTTCCTGAAGTTCAAAAGAATTTTAAAGAAAATCTGCTGTCAATGACCTCAACAGTATTCGAGTGTCTAATTATCAATGGTGTCCTTTACTCTTCCAAGTTCAGGCCTCCATCAGTCCCCATGTAGTGTTAGCAAGGTCTCACTGTTTTCAGAATCGTGTTAATGGGCAAGACTGTCCCCTGGAGGCCACACAGAGAAGCAGCCTTTTTAAAACATTCTAGCCTCATAGTTCTGGGCTCCCCTGGTGGCTCAGCTGGTAAAGCATCTGCCTGCAATGCAGGAGACCCAGGTTCCATCCCTGGTTTGGGAAGATCCCCTGGAGAAGGAAATAGCTACCCACTGCTTGGAGTGTATTCTTGTCTGGAGCATCCCCTGGACAGAGAAGCCTGGCAGATCCATTGGGTTTTAAAGAGTTGGACACCAC